ACCCACCTTGAAGAGCTGCACTCCCATGACAGCAACCACCCACACAAAAAAGATCAGGACGACGGATATTTTATAGGAAAGAAGAAACAAACGACAGCAGAGCAGCCGCCAGCCACTCACCTTGAAGAGCTGCACGCCCATGACGGCGAACATGAAGTTGAGGATCAGGGTGACCAAGATGATGTTATAGATGGTCTTCAAGGCCACGATCACGCACTGGACCACGTGCTGCCGACACACACACAAATACACACCGTTGTACACACTTTTTTTCGTAAGAGTTTTTAGTTTTAGTAAGAGTTTTACGGCACTTGCAACACAATAAGGTCATATAAGTGCCCAAGATTAGAGGGGTTACAAGAGAGTAACAAACACAAAAAAGAAGGAGGAGAGATAAGGAAGACAGATGTTGGATAGGAAAGAAGGAGCAAACCACACCAGAGCACCTTCCAACCACCCTCTTTGTACACACAGAAACACACAAATATACACCATTTTATACACATAAACACACATATGTACACAGTTGTACACACACAAATACACATCACACATAAATAGACAAATATACAAGTTGTACACATATAAACACACAAGTACACATAATTGTACACATATAACACAGGAAACAATAGTTCCACATTCTACATTCCACCAAAAGTAAGTACATATTACACCAATTTTCATAGACCAATAGTTCATTTCAAGTTGACAATCTGAAAAATCTGCGACACGCTATTTTGTAGTGTTGCACTCACCAGCCCAGGGAAGTGGGCGCTGGAAAAGACTCGAGTTAATCTGAACACATACCAGGGACAACACACTTTCTCCCACCAAGGTCATTTGGCTCTCTGAGTCCGAGCACACATCGACACAAAACAGTCATACAGTGTCAGTAAAGACGTACACATCGACACAATAACGGTCACATAGTACAGGGAAGAAGCAAAACAGATAGACAGAAACAACAGAGGGAAAGAAAAGAAGTAGGATCTACCAGAGGTGCCCTCCAGCCACCCACAGTGAAATCTGGGTAAGACACCAAACAATTTCTAACGGGAAAAGAATGTGGACAATTAACCCTATCCGGACGTCGTCTTTTACTATCATATCCATACGACGTGTTGAACTCTGTGCCACCACTTTCCAAAGAGGAAATTTACTCG